TGAATTTAACCCTTCACATAGCATTGGCTGTCTGCTTGGTTACACTCCACTTCTTTCTTAAGTCCTTAACCTCTTGTATGACTTTACCCCCCTTTTTTGGTGACACTTTAATACTGTGTCATCAGCTTATTTCATTAGCGCTGTCCTACTTGTGCCAGGGTGCAGATGAAAATACTAAATGAAATCAGCCCTGAGGTTAACCTTTGAAAAACTCCCTCCAAGGGAAGATTGTTCCTCAACCCTAAAAATGATCTAACCTCGAGCTCCCCAAAGTGGCATCCTTAGTGACCTGTGAAAAATTTACGAATGAAAAGCTATCTCTCATGGCATGCCAAGGTGATTAGAGGAGGCCAATAACTCATTGAGAGGGTTTGGCAAGATGAAAAAAAAAAAAATCACATTGCTGTTGATAAAAGTGATCAAGGTCTGTTGCTGTTGTGGGATTTTGCTTCTCTAGTCCTCCTAAAGTTTGGCTTGGAAGCCCATGGTATTCTCCTTGGCCAGCCCAAACCCATGGATCTCTTTTTTGGATGAACTGGGAAGACACTAATCAATTTTGGCTTTACTGTGTGACTACAAACCCCAGGCTAGACATGACAAGGCTAAGCAAGGCTCCCAAAGGGCCAGAGCTCTGCTGATGCAAATAATGACCCTGCTGACTTGAAGAGATGAAATAACAGCAAGGAATTTCATCCAGGCAAAATACACATGGACACCACCAGTCTCCTGAGCCCTGTCTTGACACTGCTCAGATGTGGCAACACACCTTGAAAGCTTTTCCCAGGAGGTCTGATTTGCTGGAGAGGATCACCTTGGGCTCCCTGGGAAGTTTAATAAAGTACAAGCCCTTTAGTTGCACCAGTGTTTTTTTTTATTTTCCTGCCGAATTTCAGTGCCAGCACATACTTGTCTGTGATGTAATTTTTTTTCCATTAATAAATCTGCAGACCCTGCTGGATACCACTGCTGTTATGCTTGCAAAATATTGCAACGCTAATGGAGCCCTGCTCATCTCATGTATCCTGACAATCTCAAATATTGGCCAAATATTAGTGTCGATTTTCCAAAGTCTTTAAAGCCTTCCACTCTCCTTGGACTAATGGACATCTTGTTAAAGCTGTCAGGCTTCATTTCTGGTTTGGCAGATGCCATGACCTTACAGTGGAGAGGAGAGGTGCCCTTGAGTTTGCTTTTAACACCCTCACTCAGCCACTGGATTCCCCTTTCCCAGGGCTTGCCTCTAATAGAAATCACATTTTCCTGCACAGGACACAAAAATCATCAATTTCATCGTGTAAAAGAGGTTTGTCAAGTACACCACCAGTTTTAATATCTGATTGCTTATTCTGATTTTCAACAGTGAGGTTTTACAAGAGGCTTTGGTTTAAGAGCAGCACAGAGGGAAAATTGTATTTTCAAGGGAGTGCTCTGCACAAAGCAGGCTCCTTGCACACAGGATACTGGAGAGTGAGTGGTGTATTATGCCCTTAAAACAGAGCCCTTTAAAACTGGCATGGGATACTCAGTGCTGTCCGACTGTCATTCATCACAGTCATGGCTTTCAGACAAAACGAGCCTCGCCCTCGTGTTGCTTGTAAAAATAAGGAATGTCAGTGTTTCATTTTCACTCACTGCACTTCACAGAGCAGCCAAAACCAACGTGGTTTGAACCATTATTTCAAATTTATCTGGACAAATTATCTATGCATAGTATTTTTATAACAAGATGGCTTATTTTGTCTATATTAAAATAAAAAAATTATTATGCATGTCTGGAATGCAGGAAAAGAGAAGGATTTCTTATGCTGCAGAGCACATTCAGTGAGTGATTTGAAATCTGACTGCAGTCACCCACCAGCATGTTCTCTTCCAATTTCTCTGCTTTACTCTTTTAATTCTCCCTTCCCTCCTCCATCTTTCTTTGTCCCTTCCCCTGTTTTTTCTCTATTTCTTCCCCCTTCTTCCTTTCTCCCCTGCTCTATTTCTTTCTTTTCCCCCTTTCCCATATTTCCCCTGGATTTCCTTTTCTCTGTTTCTTCCCTCTCCCTCCCATCCATTTCTTTCCTCCTTCATCTGTGTTTCTCTTCCCTTCTTGTCCTCTCTCTTCCCCCTTTGCCCCCCCAGATTTCTATTTCCCCTCTATTTCTTCCTCCCCTTCCCTTTGTCCCTTCAATAGTCGGTTTTTGGACAAAAAAATACCTGCCTGGCCCAAGGCTCTGCAAGGCTTTTAGCCAGGCAACACTGATGCAAATCCTACTGCACCCCTGAACAGGGAAATTCCTTGCATGGATACGGTGATGCAGCTGCACAGGTGGCCGAAATCCCTGGGTAACAGGGACCTAAAAATAAGGCACTGCCCCGCCTCTTTAGCCAGAATTCCTCAAAGGGCAGGGGCAAATGTGAGGATAAGGGCTCGGGGAATGAGTTATGCAGAGCCTGAAAGGGTGATAGTGCTAAGCCAGGGCTTTAGGAGGTGAAGAAGGGAAGACTGAGGGATATTTAGGAAAACCAGACCCAGCAAAGCTTTGCCTCTGGGGTGAGAGCTCAGTTTAAAACCCCTGTGCTGCCTTGCAAAGCAGGTCCTTTTTATTCCACTTGTGTAGGGTCAGAGTAAACCTGACACCGAATTTGAGGGTGTGACACACGTTCTGCTGCCCAAGCAAGGTGAGGGACTCATCCATCTGCTTCTGCTGACAAAATAATAATTTGATTCTCGCAAAGATAAACAGCCCCAGGTGCAAGGAGCAACATCGATGCAGTATCACTACCCAGTCAGTCTGAGGATGAGTCAGATCTCAGGTGTTGTACATGAAAACTGCCAATAAATATTGAGAAGGCAGGTGTTGCCTTTTACTTCAATCAAGTTTAAATCGACGGTAAAATTAAATAATAAAGATTAAAAGCAGCTTTCTGGTCAGAAGGGAGTGGGTGCGTTTTGTAACCCTTTTCTCTGTCTATGTAATAACGTGAGCTTGAGAGACTTTAATTCATATTTAGGGAATTAGTGTGAAAATTGAGGTGTAAGGGCTGTGACAGGAATCCCAGAAAATACATGTTCCTTGTCAGTGTGAATTCATTAAGCACTGATGTACTTGACACTAAAATTAATCACGTCCACTTACACTTATTAGGAAAATTCACTGTTAAAGAGACCCCACAGAGCTATGAAGCTGTGTGAGGTGCCAGGGCATGAAGAGTGGCGTTTCTGTCCTGCTCCCTCTCTATTTGTGGCAGAGGAACTCCCATGGTTTTATAGCAGAAATTTCCATGATTTCTGGTAAATTTACTGTGTCCAGTTCTGGGTTCCTCAGGACAAGAGAGACAGAGCTCCTGGAGGGGGTCCAGCGGAGGCTGCAGAGGTGGTGAAGGGATTGGAGCATCTCTGAGGAGAAAAGGCTGAGGGAGCTGGGGCTCCTCAAGAAGGGAGCTCTGTAATGTGTGTAAATATCCAAAGGGTGGGTGCCAGAGCATGGACCAGGCTCTGCTCCATGGGGCCCAGCAATGGGACACGAAGAACAGGCAGATGCTGATGCCCAGGAGCTGCACCTGAACAGGAGGCAGAATTTCTTCCCTGTGCAGTGACCAAGTGTCCAGAGAGGGTGTGGAGTCTCGCTCGCTGGGGATATTGCAGAGTCATCTGGACACAATCCTGTGCCCTGTGCTCTGGGATGACCCTGCTGGAGCAGGGAGGTTGGACCAGATGACCCTTTGTGGTCCTGTCCAACTTGACCCATTCCGTGATTCTGTAATTTCCTATGGCTTGGCAGGGAGCCCAGGCACCCCAGTGGGAAGGAGGTTGGTCACAGTGGAGCTGAGGGCGCAGGAGAGACCCCACACACCCCGATTTTGGGTGGCGAGGAGAGTGAGCAGGGACCATCCCATAAACACACCCCCTGATCTCAGATGGTGAAGACAGCGAGCAGGGTCCTTCAAACACCAGCCCCAATTTCAGGCGGTGAGAGCAGCAAGAAGAGACACCCCGATTTGGGATGCTAATGGGAGCGAGGATGAATCCCATATGCACTTAGATTTCCCTCGGGTGTGAGGGAAGTGAGCAGGGACTCCCAAACACAGCTCGGTTTTGTGTGTGAAGGCAGCGAGCAGAGAGCCCCAAACACAGCCCGGTTTTGGGTGTGAGGGCAGGGACTCCCAAACACAGCCCGGTTTTGGGTATGAGGGCAGGGACTCCCAAACACAGCCCGGCTTTGGATGTGATGGCACCGAGCAGGGAGCCCCAAACACAGCCCGATTTTAGGTATGAGGGCAGGGAGCCCGAAACTCAGCCCGGTTTTGGATGTGAGGGCAGAGAGCTCCAAATAGAGCTCGGTTTTGGGTGTGTGGGCAGCGATCGGGCACCCCCAGCCCGGTTTCGGATCTGAGGGCAGGGAGCCCCAAACACAGCCCGGTTTGGGGAGTGAGGGCAGGGATCGAGCACCCCCAGCCCGGTCTGGGGAGTGAGAGAAGGGATCGAGCACCCCCAGCCCGGTTTGGGGAGTGAGAGCAGCCATCGAGCACCCCCAGCCCGGTTTGGGGAGTGAGGGCAGGGATCGAGCACCCCCAGCCCGGTTTGGGGAGTGAGGGCAGGGATCGAGCACCCCCAGCCCGGTTCGGGGAGTGAGAGCAGCCATCGAGCACCCCCAGCCCGGTTTGGGGAGTGAAGACAGGGATCGAGCATCCCCAGCCCGGTTTCGGGTATGAGGGCAGCCACCGAGCACCCCCAGCCCGGTCTGAGGAGTGACAGCAGCCACCGAGCACCCCCAGCCCGGTCTGAGGAGTGACAGCAACCACCGAGCACCCCCAGCCCGGTGTCGGCGGCCGTGGGGCGGCCCGTCCCCTCAGGGCGGGGGGCGGCGGCGCATGCGCGGGGCGGGGGGCGGTGACGGCCGCGCCGGCGGAGGCGGCGGAGGCCGCGGGAGGGTCGCTCGGGGCCGGGGGCAGCGGCTCCGGGTTCGCCTGCGCTCCGGGCCGGGCTGGGCTGAGCCCGTCGCGACCGCCCCGCCATGGGGACGCCGGGCGCTGGGCGCAAGCGGCTGCCGAACCGGGAGCGCCTGACGGCGGAGGACGATGCGCTCAACCAGATCGCCCGCGAGGTGAGCGGCGGGAGGCGGCATCCCCCCTTCTCCGTTCTCCATCCTCTTCCCTTCGCCTTCCCCCCCGGGCTCCCCCGAGCGCCGCGCAGGCGCCCCCGGCCCCCGGCACGGCGGCGGCTCAAGGGCGAGGTGCAAACCCTCCTTGACCGCCGGCTGTGCCACCATCCCCGGGCACACGGTGAGGGAATGGTGCGGGGCCGGAGCCCCCCCGCTCCAGCCCTTCCATGGAGGGGATATCCATCGCCAGCCACTGGGATTGGTGTTAGCCACTGGAAACAGGCCGCTCGGGTGTGTTATGGACCCGGATAAATCATAGAATCGCAGCGTGGTTTGGGTTGGGATGCCAAAATCCATCTCGTTCCAAGCTCCCTGCCGTGAAACACCTTCCACTGCTCCCGCGTTGCTCCAAGCCCAGTCCAAGCTGGCCTGGAACACTTCCAGGGGTGGGAGGGAAAAATGAAAACCAGAATGCTGCAAGGTGATGCGAGGTGTGGGCATAAGTGAACCTTCTAACTTGGAAGCTGATTTTTGTATTGCTGCCCACCAAATGCTGCATCGTGCTCAATGTGACTTCGACCTTCTAAACCAGCTGATTGCTGATGCTTCCTGCCTCCTTATTCTTCTTATGCACGCTTAAATTGGTTCGGTGGTAACCAAGATAATGGGAATTTGTTCTTTATGTCTGCTAAATCTGGCAAAGTCTCTTCTCCATCCTTGCTCTGTTAGTCCTGCAATGGGGGAAAGGGGGATAAGCAGCCCTGGGGTTCTTCTCTAGTAGGAAGCCTATGAGAAAGATGGAGAGGGACGATTTACAGGAGCATGTAGTGACAGGACAAGGGGGAATGGATTCAGACTGAAAAAGACCAGGGTTAGATGGAATATTAGGGAGAAATTCTTCCCTGTGAGGATGGTGAGGCGCTGGCACAGGTTGCCCATCCGTGGAAGTGTCCAAGGCCAGGTTGGATGGAGCTTTGAGGAACCTGGTCTGGTGGAAATTGTCCCTGCCCATGGCAAGGGGTTGACCTGAGGTCCCTTCCAACCCAAACCATTCTGTGATTCAGTGTCTAAACTGCTCCGGTGCTGCTGCTGAAGGTGGCCATCCTCTTCCCCTAGCATGGGTTTTGTATGTCAGCCCACACCTGGCGTTGGTGTAACCAAGATGGGTTACAAGATAAATTGCTCTTTTGGAGGACTTTCAAGTCTCTCTTGGTTTCCTTTCCTGATTCAGCGTTGCAGCAGGATCAGGTGTATATGTGTATGGCTTATTTTTGGTGGCACTGGCTGGTAGGTTGAGTTAGCTGTGATATCATGCTTCTTATTACCACCAGTGGCTTTCCAGTTGATGTGCACCGTTTTCAAGTGGTTTGTAGCATCTTTGGAATATGTTCAGTAGGCTGAGTTTTGTGTGCGTTCTTTGAAGGCAGGTTTTTGTGGCAGGGTAATGAGGAGGTTCCTAAGGATGGAGTTTGAGGTAGGAGGGCAAGAATGTATCATGTCCTCGACGTGAAGTAGCAAGTAAGAGTGATTGTGCTGTCTGTTAGAGTCATGGTGATATCCTAAGAATCGTTCTGGGATGAGGGTTTGAATTCCACAACTGTGTCCTGCCACGCTGTCATTTGATCAAGGAAGACATCACTCTCTAACAAGGAACCCAGCTGCTCTTTTCTGTTGCATGTTTTTCTCCCACTTTCTCTTTTCTTTATCTTAGATCTGCTTTTCACTGCATCGTGTAGTGGTTTGAGGACTCAAATATTATGGTGGTTTGTGGCTTTTTTTTTCTTCTTCCTTCTCCTGGGGTTTGTTTAAAGGACAACTCCATTTGCTCAAAAAGCTCACAAGCATGTCTTTTATCTTTTCCCTTGAGTGCTAAAACTGTGAACTGCCAAGTTCAAGGTTCAGCATTTTCCCATATTATTTTATCTATTTGCATTACTCTGTCTCGGAGCACTTTAATTGTTTTGTTGTTTAACTGCCTGTTCTCCACACAAAGGATCCCAGATGACTCCTTCTGTATGATCCAGTCTTAAAATATGTCAACTAAGCCTTTTTTCTCTCCTTAGCAAGGATGTTGAGAGCCTCCATGTTGAGAAGGTGGGAAGGTTACTGATATTTTGGCTCTTCCAGCCTTCCTCACAGGTGTTTAGACCAACAAAAAAATCTATGTTGCTTTTGCACATAGATTTTCACTCCTGTCTTTTCCTTGGTCCTTTGTTATCCAGAAGCCAGAGATGCTGGCAAGTTATTTTCAGGTCCTAGAGTCTTATTTTCCCTAAGTCCATATGAGAGCCCAAGAGAGCATCCAGACTAGACTGATTTACAGAGGTACCTTTTGTGGCTGTCAGAATATTTTGGCCAACCCACCGTTCTCACTCTGCTGTGTACTCCTATAAGAAGACAGCAAGACTTGCAAGGACTTTTTGAATAAGTCCTGCCATTTGAATATGAATTTGTTTGGATTTGGAGCTGAGATGTCTTGCTCAGACCAGGAGAGAGCCTGGCATGGTGAAAAGGGCAATGAGAGCAATTGTGAGGGGAAGTAACTAAGTAAGAGGAAGGAAATTGTAAGAGTGAAGCATCTCGTAGTGCCAAGGGTTTAGCAGCAGTATTGGCCGTCTTAATTAGTAGTGGTTTTAATGTTTGAGGCAGTTTCTGAACAAGTTTATCACCTTGTCCAGACCTATCCAGAGCAGAGGTAGAAGGTGCAAATCACTGCATCAGGAAAGGATAGTGCTGTACCACCAGGTGTGACTGCAGGGTTTGACAGGCATGGTAATTAGGTGGATGGCAAATATGTAAATATAAATAAGATAAAACACGGTGTTGTGAGTTTCCAGCAGACTCTCAGACTGCCTGCCACTCGGGATTTGCTGTTCACACACCTGGCTGCTGCTGCTGAGCTTGCTTTTTCCCGGGCGTCAGCGAAGCCGATCAATGATCAGCTTCTCCTTTTTCAGGCTCGCCTTGAGCCAGCAGATTATTCCGTGCTCAGGCCAATGGAAACTTTTGGGCTCTTTCATCGCCCAAATCGGTGAGCACATGCCAGCAGTGTTTGGAAAATCGAGCAGTTTGATACTGCTGCGGGTCTGTGCCAGCAGATGCAGCGGGAGCATGCTGAGCGCTCGTCCGTCTGTCCGGACAGAGCTCGGCAAGGCACAGCCCTGCCCAGCTGGACCTTCCAGGAGCTGCCTTCCTGCTTGGATTAGATGGCTTTGATGTGATTATTTGAGACATTGTTTCTAGGGAAATATTTTTTTTTTTTTTTGCTAGCTTCCACTCTTCTAGCCGCAGTAATAATTGTTCCGTGAGCAGGGGTTTTGCGAATCCGACAAGGAGCTGTGTAAATGAGATATTTCTCTTGTAGGCAGATGATATTGGTTACTGTTTTTTGTTTTGCTGAATGAGGAAGGACAAGGTCAATTTCTTGTCTGTGTTAGGAAAGTAATTGACGCCTTGTTTTGCCACAGATGTGTGTTACACTGCTCAGAAAAATGATCCTGCCACATATCCTCTCTGTACTAGAAATCTTCTTCATCCACCATTTTACAGAGCAGAGCTCTTTAGGTAATAATTAATTTGAAATTAGTAGTTCATCAGCATAATTTATTTTTATTGTTAAAGGAAGTAATGTTGCAAGGGTTGTGCCTTTGCTCTTTGTACACTTTATGTCACTTTCAGGAACTGTCACCTACATCTTTGTACATACATAATTATTACTTTTAAAATAACTAGCACAGTCCATTTATGGACCATGCATTTGATTATTTCACTGAAATAATCAGTTTGGGCATCGACTTATGTTCTTAATGATTAAAAAATTGGGATGTTACACTGCTATGAAGGAGCAGGTTGCTAATTAGAAAAAGCTCAAAATACAGATGAAACCAGCCAGCCAGGTTTAATAGTTACAGAAAGAAGGCACTTCAGTAAGTAATTTCAATAGGCTAAATTAGAGTTAGGGACTAGTGAAGAGATGCTATGATGGTTGAATGGGGAATCTGTTAAATTGAAGAGTTAATCTGGGGGAGCAAACTGTGTTTTAAACAGCAGTTTGGGCGACTTCCATAAATAGAGATGGAAACAATTTGCTACAAATTGAAGCTAAAGCAAGCTGAGTGGCTATTTGTATATGGGAACACAAGCCACATAAACTTTATTGAACTGTTATGCAAACCAGAGCATTTAAAGTAGTGTGTTCCCTAAGGATATACTCCCTTAGGATATATTCCCTATGTGTGAGATCTGGGTGCCTCATCAGGGTAGGGGTGGAAGTTGTTGGAGCAGTATTTGACATTACAGATGTGTGAAGGCTTTTGTAAGCTGGGTGAATGGTCCAAGAGAAGCCCTTAGAAACAGCCTGGCTTATGTAGCACCAGTATTGGACTTATTTTTTTATTGCATTACTTTCTGCCTTGATGAGTGTTAATGTATGATCCAAACAAATGATCTGAAAAAAGCATGTCTGGCTTTTCTGTTCTAGAACAGAAAGTTACAAAAGCAAGGGATGCTCTTGACTCAGCCAGGCTGACCTAAATTTAGGAAGGAAGGAGGGCTTTGTAGGCGATGCTTGCCAGTAGGGCGTGGGGAATTGTTCCAAATTTGAGATGATTTTATGTGGCAAATATGCTCTTCATCAAACACTCCTTTTTCCCTTATGCTGTACATCCATATATCCAACAAATGGCATTGGTGCCTCTTACAGTTTTTCCCCAAGTGAATGTGTAGAGGAGCAGTTTAAAGAAGTGAGATGAAAATCTGAAGACCCACCTCCTGCTGGTTAAATGGGTGGCTGAAGCCTGTCTTACAAACTTGAAATAATTAGTTGCCTTTTTTTGTGTGTCCATGCCTGGCCCGAGTCCCCTTCAGCTGTTCTCTTGCTGTCTGAGGAAGCAGCTGTTGAGGAACTGTGATTCCTGTTCCAGTCAAGCAAGGGACTACTGGTAGGATTAACAGCATGGGAAGCCCAGCCTCTGTCTTTGTAAGCCCAGATGCTGAGCTTGGCC